TATATATGTATATATATAGTTTAAATCTTGCAATTCTAGAGATATAAATTCACAGTTTATATCTTGCAATTCAAAAAGTCTGATTTGTGAGATAAAAAGTCACAATTACCTTTTTAATTTTTTTATTCCGTAGAAGAAACAGGCTTTCATATTTCATTTAATTTTTACAATGGCTGAAAAATTGCTTACAAATTTTAACTGCATTTATTACATGGCATGCAAATTAATTAATCACATTGATCACAGTAGATCACAGATGAATATTTGTTAAAAAGCCCTCAGATCACTTAAGTCAGTTTATTTCATTTTTGTGTTCATTTTTTATTGCATCATTTTTAATATTTCATCACAGCATTAAATTAACCACCCCAGACTTTCAGTCTTGTAATTTTAATGTCACCATTTCAATTTGTGAAATAAAAATGTGGGCGAAAAAAAATGTCTGTAACAGATATGCCACAGCCTTGTGGTTGGGTTCATGTAATCACATAATTACATATAATTATTTTGAATTATTCATATGCTTCACACAGAATATGTGTATCAATTTTACATGACTCTGGTGACTTCCTTATGAGTCAGTCATCACTGTGACCTCCCATGCCTTTGTTTTTTTCTGAACAGACGAAAATGCCAAACTTGGTACTGCAATGCGCTACGAGGAAATTGGTGAGACGATGTGATTTTCCTGTGGCTTTTGGTTTTTAAATCAGTCCTTGCTTGTCTCTTCGAGTCATTGTCAGAAAATACTGAGTTTGACCAGGGACAGAAATCAACTCTGACAAACTCTGTCAGAGAAATAGACAAAACAGTAGAAATCATTCTATAAGTCATGAAATGTGGTGGTGTTTGTCTGTATACTGTGAAGAAGGCATCAGTGTGCTGTGTAGTGCCTCATTCTTCCTCCTCATGGGAAAAATGTGACTTGTTTTTTTCTTTTTAATCTTATCAAAGTTGTTATGTTTACCCCTACAGCAAAGGAAAACCCTCTCATTACTGTCTTGTGTTTTTTTGTGGTGTGATGTGTAACTGTGATTGTGGTTTGTTCAGAGTTGCGTATCCTGCTCCTTTGTGGCAGTGATCTCCTGGAATCTTTCTGCATCCCTGGCTTATGGAAAGAAAGTAATGTAAGATATAATTATTCTTTCTTTCCCTGTGTTTCTTACTCATAAATGGCTAAATATTTTATTAAATATTCTAGCGCACAGTTTGTATGTTTGCCTAAATTAAGCAATATCTCAAGTAATCACATCCTTGTTTATATTCAGATCGGTGACGTGCAGTTGTGAATATGATATATTGCTATTGCTTTTATTCAACAGTTCAATAAACAGTTAGTTAATATTGTAGACACAACATTGATGGTTGTCTGTTTTGCTCCACCAATGAAATGGTTCCAAATGAAGCGAAAGCAGAATCAAGCATTGAGCATTTCCAAGCAGCAAAGTTTTTTTCTTTTTCTTGAAAGAATCAGTGTTTTTGAACAAATCTTTTAAGTGAACAATTCAGTGACTCAATCATAAAGATAATCACTTGCCCTGTGTCTGAAATCGCCCCCTATACCCTTAAATAGGGCACTATTTGAGGGGACAGCCATTGTTAGTGGTGTCCGAAACCTTAGTGGACCTTATCGAGTGCACTCATTCAATCCCACAATGCACAGCAATAACGAGTGCAACTGATGTATGCTCAATGGCTAGAGAATACCTGCACTGAATCAACAGCACAATACAATACAGGTATAAATTCATTGTAAATTAATTATTTAATTGTTTAATTAGGGTTTATACATAATTTCCATGACAGAGTTCAAGATAAATCCTTTCATCTTACAACTGGAGCTGCCAGTTTGCCAGTTTCGAACTATGCGAAACTATGCGAACAGTGCACTAAGTGTCCGAATTCACTCACTCGTTTTCATTCACTCCTTCAAGTGAACTGTATTAGTGGCCTAATGGGGGCGATTTCGGATTCAGTCTTGATTTGTACCTTAATCAATCTGGGTTTTTGAACAAATCTTTTAAGTGAATTTATGAATTCGGAGCAGCATACTACTTGTACTAATTCTGCCATAGAAAGATTAGTAGTAGAGTAGTAGTAGAATGCTAGCATGCGGTTTGAATTGTTTGAGTCAAGATATTTGTCGCTTGTCTCCACCTACTGGTGGTACAATGTAACCTGCTTAAAGAATCACTGATTATTTCCACACTACTAAACATTGTTTTTTTATATTTTGAGTTAGTTTTTATTTTTATGTTTTGTGTTTAATTTTTGTTAATTTTATGTTTTAGTTATTGAGTTGTGTAGTTTTTGTCATTTTTATTAGTGTTTCTTAAAAATATGTCTATACAGTCTTTATTAATTAAATTTTTGTTTAGTTTGAGTTATTTTAATATGTATGAGTTATTACAACTAACTGAAATAAAATAAGGTTATTTTTATGTTTTATTTTATTTGTTTTAAATATTTTGTGCAAGTAATAATTTTTTATGGTTTTAGTTTTTTGCTACTGATTATATTATTGTAATAATGTTTTTATAAAAATGATAAATATAATGTGACAGTCATTAAATTTTGATGCAAAGTATGGATTAAGGCAATTGTAATCAACTTGAAACCTCACAAATATATATATATATTTTTTTTTTTCAGAATAACACGCATTGATGAATTTTACACAATAAGAGAAGGAACATATATTAATAAAGAAAATAGCATCAGTTTTGATTGATCAATTATAGCACTAACAATGCATCTTTAGCATGTGTTGTTAAACTACACTCTTAAAAATAAAGGTGCTTCACGATGCCATAGAAGAACCTTTTTGTCTAAATGGTTCCATAAAGAACCTTTATCATCTGAAGAACCTTTCTGTTTCACAAAAGGTTCTTTGTGGCGAAAGAAGGTTCTTCAGATTATAAAAAGGTAAGAAAGAGATGGTTCTTTAAAGAACCTTTGACTGAATGGTTCTTTGTGGAACCAAAAATGGTTCTTCTATAGCATTGCTTGAAGAACCTTTTGAAGCACCTTTATTTTTAAGAGTGTAAGTATGTGATTATTATATTCTTCCAGATGGAAGTGATTGTGGGGGATTTTGGGATAGTGGTGGTTCCTCGGGATGGAGCTGACACAGAAAGGATAATGAACCATTCATCTGTGCTCCGAAAGCATAAGGTATTATTTGGGGTACAACCTTTTAGCTTTGCTTCTGTAGTTATTATTTGCAACTGAAAACATGTTTCACAGCAACTGTGTTTTACTACACAGTAAATGCATGCCGTGTAGAGTGTGTTTGCTGTTTTGTGATGTTAATACTGCTTTGGTTTTCCTCTCACAGGACAATATAATCGTGGTAAAGGATGAAATCGATCACCCGATGTCAGTCGTCAGTTCCACCAAGAGCAGGTGCGTGTTCTCGCCGTCTCCGCATAATTCATCTCTCCGTTCTGCACCGCAACCTTCTGCTTTTCTCCTCACCAGACTGGCTCTTCAGCACGGCGACGGTCACGTGGTGGATTACCTGAGCCAGCCCGTCATCGACTACATCCTGCAGAGTCAGCTCTACATCAATGCTTCTGGATAGGGTGGGGAAGTCCACTTCCGAGCCGTCAGTCATCCCTGTCTGTCTCTCTGTGTGTAATCTAGAGTAAAATCCTCCTGTGCTACCACTGCTTTTCCATGTAGAGGAGCATTAATCTGTCCTCCCCTCTTACTCGTGTCTCACTGGGATGTACAGCACTGTGCCTGAGGGATCTGCTCCACCAATCAGCTTTAAGGGACTGGGTGGGCTTAGGTGCCCAATAGGAGGAAGAGGAGAGAGCCTCGCTAACACTATGACAGGAAAAGAGAGTGTTTTTGATTGAATTAGATAATTCATTGCCTGCTATAATGTCGGTCTTTGCTGTTGATTTAATACTCTCTGTACTTGTAGTTGCATGCCTACGGGTTTTCTTTCAGCGCATGAGTGTTTAAAATACCACGTAGACCGTAGTCTGTGGTTACAGTGTTTGCAAAAAAAACTGTGCTTTGACTCATCTCACCTCTAAATATATTTTCTATTCATCAATCAACTGTATGTACAGAGAACATCTCATATACTTTATTATGGCTCAGTGTTTTGTCTTCAATGTGCATTCATGTATACGTGGAGTATTTGCTTGCACATTAAAGAATGCGATTTCATTTACTTTGCTTTCGTGCGCATTTACTTCTCACAGAGCTCCTTTGCTCAACATTAACATGCTAACATGCCACGGATGTGGTGTCTAGTAAAGCCGGTCACTGCCTGTGCATCAAACCATTTGTTTCAGGATGAGATTCCTTGCGCTTTCGCTTGTTTTGTGAAGAGTCCACGTTGAGATCGTTCGAGTTTTCTGTTCATGTTAGACAATGACAAAAAAAAAATGATATGCTTTCAAACTCTTTTTAAAGCCGTTTGATGGTTGGAACATCCTTTAAATGATTAGAATAATATTTGAGCTGCTGCACATCTAATACAACCTTTATAAATGATTCAAAGTGTATTTGATGTGAACAATAACAGATTCAGCGAATTATGTATATTGTGCATAATTGATTGCGAGCTTATGGAAGGCTCCGGCCTTACGATATGAAGAAGACTTCAATATATTACTGTGATTATTGTTTTTCATATGATAATGCTTTATAAGTCTCCGGTTAAACATGATGATTAATTTTGATCATTTTAACTAGAAACTCTTCATAAATAAAACTAGAAGCCAGAATGTTAATCTTCAAAAATGTGAAGCCTATTAAAATACTGAGATTGTAACTTTATTAGATATTCCTTGTGTAACCACTTCATACCCAGCGTTTACTAGGTTTACTGTACCTCATATGCTGTTGGTTATGTTCATTGTCACAGACATTAAAGGAGAAATATCCTTGCTCAGCGCCGGGATAAAAATTTGGATATTATAATATATTTAGCAACAAATAATATATTTAGTTTTGCATCCGACATGCCATTATCAAATGTTTTAAGTTATATTTTATAGAAAAGTCCAAGATTCTCTGACAAAGCTTGTCACACTTTTATTACCAAATGTATTTTCTATTACTAAAATAAACTATTAAAAATTGTTTAAAAATCATTTTAAGTTGAAGTACTAAAATTACTAAAACTGAAGTAAAAATAAAATTAAAGCTAAATAGAAAATTAACAAAAAACTAAGAAATTACAAAAGCACATATCAAAATTACTACAACTTTAAATAAAATGAAAAATAAGCTATATTATAATATATTTAGTTTTGCATCCGACATGCCATAATCAAATGTTTTAAGTTATATTTTATAGAAAAGTCCAAGATTCTCTGACAAATCTTGTCACACTTTTATTACCAAATGTATTTTCTATTACTAAAATAAACTATTAAAAATTGTTTTTGTTCATTGAAAAAAAAAAAGCTAAACTAAAATATAAATAAAAGATGAAAAACCTCAAAGTAAAAAACTTTAACAAAAATTCGAAATGGTGCCTAGGCTGAAATAAAATCATTTTAAGTTGAAGTACTAAAATTACTAAAACTGAAGTAAAAATAAAATTAAAGCTAAATAGAAAATTAACAAAAAACTAAGAAATTACAAAAGCACATATCAAAATTACTACAACTTTAAATAAAATGAAAAATAAGCAAACACACTGAACAAAAGCTAATTTAAAATATTGATACTATAATAGTATACAAATAATACAAAAAACACTGTTTCACATTGCACTTGACTGCATGTTTTGCATGTCGTGAATTATTGTTATAACTCACCTAGTGAGCTCATAACATCAGTGATTGTATTTAAGGTATCACTAACAGCATCCCTGGCATTCTTTGCGTTTTCAAGTGCCCCAGTGGACTCCATGACAGCCTGATTTTACAACAAAGAAAATAAAATTTAGCATATATCCCCACATCACATGTGATTTCAAATATCTTTCTCAAATAGTTTTATGTAAGCAGACATTCTTACATTCTTTGCTTGAGTTAACTGTGCTTTTGCCTGGTTTTTGTCTTCATTCAGTTTGTCTCTAAATACAGATGCCCCTGTCGTCAGTCCATCCACGTCCTTTTTCAGTTTAGTGGCAGCTTCCAAAATATCCAAAGAGGGCGGAAGAGCATCTGACATTCCCTGTGGAGACACATACAAGCACCCTGTGAGCACATTCAAAACTTTCTGTATACGACTCAACTCGGGTCATTTAGTACAGCTAGTGACAAACGTTGTGAGAAACTGAACTATATGTCTTTCTGTGAAATACAAATACTGTTTTTACTAAATAAATGGGTGAGTACTCAACGTAACAGGTCGCCATACCTCCAGTTTGGTTGCAGTGTTTGTAAGAGTGTCGATAGTATCCTGAGCATCTCTGTAGTGAGCAGACATTGCCTCCAGAATGTCCTGAGTCTTAATGTTGTCAGCTATGGCCTTCTGGATGGTGGCATTGATGTTAGGAAGTTTTCGAATAGCGGCATCTGCCAGATCCTTATTACCACTGATCTGGTCATCAAATCCTGAGACACAATAGAGAAATGCATATTTTTAAAGAGTTAAGGTTAATTGTGTTGGATAGTTTAAATAATGACAGAACATTATCTGGAGATATATACACTACTGCTCAAATGGTAAGGTCGGTAAGAATTTTTTTTTAATTAATACTTTTATTCAGAAAGGATTCATTAAAATGATCAAACAAAATTACTACAACTTTAAATAAAATGAAAAATAAGCAAACACACTGAACAAAATCTAATTTAAAATATTGATACTATAATAGTATACAAATAATACAAAAAACACTGTTTCACATTGCACTTGACTGCATGTTTTGCATGTCGTGAATTATTGTTATAACTCACCTAGTGAGCTCATAACATCAGTGATTGTATTTAAGGTATCACTAACAGCATCCCTGGCATTCTTTGCGTTTTCAAGTGCCCCAGTGGACTCCATGACAGCCTGATTTTACAACAAAGAAAATAAAATTTAGCATATATCCCCACATCACATGTGATTTCAAATATCTTTCTCAAATAGTTTTATGTAAGCAGACATTCTTACATTCTTTGCTTGAGTTAACTGTGCTTTTGCCTGGTTTTTGTCTTCATTCAGTTTGTCTCTAAATACAGATGCCCCTGTCGTCAGTCCATCCACGTCCTTTTTCAGTTTAGTGGCAGCTTCCAAAATATCCAAAGAGGGCGGAAGAGCATCTGACATTCCCTGTGGAGACACATACAAGCACCCTGTGAGCACATTCAAAACTTTCTGTATACGACTCAACTCGGGTCATTTAGTACAGCTAGTGACAAACGTTGTGAGAAACTGAACTATATGTCTTTCTGTGAAATACAAATACTGTTTTTACTAAATAAATGGGTGAGTACTCAACGTAACAGGTCGCCATACCTCCAGTTTGGTTGCAGTGTTTGTAAGAGTGTCGATAGTATCCTGAGCATCTCTGTAGTGAGCAGACATTGCCTCCAGAATGTCCTGAGTCTTAATGTTGTCAGCTATGGCCTTCTGGATGGTGGCATTGATGTTAGGAAGTTTTCGAATAGCGGCATCTGCCAGATCCTTATTACCACTGATCTGGTCATCAAATCCTGAGACACAATAGAGAAATGCATATTTTTAAAGAGTTAAGGTTAATTGTGTTGGATAGTTTAAATAATGACAGAACATTATCTGGAGATATATACACTACTGCTCAAATGGTAAGGTCGGTAAGAATTTTTTTTTAATTAATACTTTTATTCAGAAAGGATTCATTAAAATGATCAAAAGTAACAGTAAAGACGATACAAAAGATTTCTATTTCTAATCAATGCTGTTCTTTTGAACTTTCTAATCCTGAAAAATGTATCACGATTTCTAAAAAAAATATTAAGCAGCACATCTATTTTTAATACTGATTATGAAAAACCATGTGACACTGAAGACTCGGAGGAATGGCTACTAAAAACTCACATTTAAAATATATTATTATAGTTATTCGAATAATAACAGGGACTGCAGATTAAATGATCTCTGTAGCTAGTTCTGGGGCAGTCATGGACTGTCCATTGTCTCTGTTAAATAAACAAACACAATTTGAATAAAAATAAAAAACATTTTACAATATTCTTGTTTTACTGTATTTTTAATCAAATAAATGCAGCCTTGGTGAGCATAAGAGACTCCTTCAAAAACCTTACAGACCTTTTGACTGACAAACTCTTCAACTGTAGTGCACACATAATATTTAACAGCTTGTAGAAGTCTAGTGTTCATCTGTACCTTTGAGTGTCTCTAGTGTATTATCCAGACTATCCATGTTGTTGGCAAAGATTTCCAGAGATTTATTTTTAACAGCTTCTGCTGCATTTGCCCTTGGAAGAAGTTTGTCTTGAACCTTAAATAAAGTAAAAACAATTGTTAATTTCCCCGTTGACCCAGGAACAGCCATTAAAGGTCAATCTTTTCACAGAGATATATAAGTCTTGTTGCAATTTTTTGATTGTTGTCAGCATATCATCGACATAACATCAAGCTAATTTTCAGTCATCACATTCTTACACATATTTCACATATTGGTCTTTGAAATGATTGGTTTCTGAACATCCACACTGTCAGGAATGTTTAACAGAGGATTAGGTTTACCTGTTGGAAACTCTTGGCCTTATTGAACAGATCAGCTGTCTCTTTCTGCTCATTGAGCATATACTGCTGAAAGTCCTGGTACTGTGATAAATTCCCCTCCACCATACCCTTCAGACCGTCGAACTTGGAAACCACACCAGCAATGTCCTTCTGCAGAAACAGAAAGATAATAGTACACATTGTTCATGTTATATTGCGTATTTTTGTAGACTCCAGCATGAACAGCTAACATTTTGTAGAAGCGAATAGGGGTTCGAACAAAGACTTGCATCTCCCGTATTCCCCAATTTTCAAACTCTTCTACAAACATAAATATTTAATTCAGATTGACTACCGCCAGGGGCTTTGGAAGTTTCTTCTCCAGGTCAGATAACTGTTTGAGAGTGTTCTGAGCCACTCCGCTCTCCTTTCCAGCTGCATCAGTCAGTTGAATGGCCTTCCTATCCATGTCAAACACTTTAGTTACATCTGCTTCATACCTGAAAACAACATCATTAGAAAGTAAGGTCACAGTCTTTATCTCTGTACAATGAAGGTAAACACTTCGGTACTATAGAGAACATTATCTGGTTTAACAGTGTTTCTAATAGAAAAGTTAAGCTATATGCAACTTACTGTCTTTTGAGGTCCCTGAGCTCGTCTTTGACATTATTTTCTCGGTTGATGACACCACGGATGAGGTCTAGGGCTTTCTCAGA